CTTATTGCAAAAATTGTCTTTATCCCGGGGCTGTATTAGGCAGGGGCAGCTATTTAGCAGGGGTAATACTTTTTTCTAAAATAAGGGAACTTTTTTGACCCGTTTTCTTGAAGGAAAGGGTCATATTTTTACAAAAGGGCTACTATTTGATAGAAAGGGGTACTTTACCTACAATATGGAGATACCTAAACTTTTGGGAAAATGGAGAGGGGATCAAGCCTCTGGCTTCAACATCTATGCAACGCACCGAAGGTGTGCAACAGATAAACCATAACATTAGAGGGTTGAAACTGGCAGCTCTTTAAATCTCAGTCGCCATTTTGCGAACTGTTTTAAACAAGCATCAAGTAGACTGAGGCTACTATAAGCTCGGAAATTATCTCGATGCGGTGGCTGCGAAGGCGATTTATCGCTCACTTATTCTGCCTACTTTCGCATTCTCTTGAAATGACTGACACTGAATGCAAACGAATGAGACAATGAGTCAGTTACAAATGCTAATAACATCGGTGCATGCAAGCTTGTATGCAAGTGTTGTGATATGGATATATTTGTGATGCTTTACAAGAACACTTGGAAATAAATTATCATAAAATTCAAACAAGCAACAAACAATTCTCAGTAAAGCTGCCAAAAATTAAAACAGCATTTGCAAAAAATCTTTTCGTTTTATGGGAGCAAAAATTAACAATGAACTGCCTGTTGGTATACGAAAAACCGAGTAATACGATGCCTATGAACAGCGACTTAAGCAACAATTTTTTTCAACTTCCTTACTTTATATAGATATGTGATATATGATGGCAAAAATATGCTGTAATTTTTTCACATTCTTTTATACATACTTTGATAGGGCTTGATAGTTAACTTTCTTTTTATGTTAATCAGAACACACATTGATAACAGCAGAAAGGTTTGAGTGTTTAATCCTGTATAAAGGTTTGTGTTATTGTTATAATTATTATTATTATTATTATTGTTATTATTATTATTATTATTATTACTACAAAATAATGACCAAGACACAAAGTACAGCAATATTGTGGCTGACTAGAAGAAATGAAGTGCCCCTTGCAGATAAAATGTACCATTAAGGTCTGACAATCTGCTCGGTAAAAGAAATGGGTAACTTTCTCTCAATAACATCACTCTATGTTTTTAGTTACTCATCATTCCTGGCAAGCAGGAAACGGGATATTCAAGATGAAGCTGGATCAGGATTTGAAAGAAAAGAAACGGCCGGGTACTGGATATGCTGGCAAACAGGTTCGGCATGGCGTTATGGCGGGATGAAGTTACCCTATTGTTAACCCTTTTGTTAATCCCCTCTTTCTAAACTGTTATGTTCTGTTCCAGAAGCCTCTACATCAGAGGCTCGTGTTCTCTTGTTGGCTGAAGTCCGATGTCTGAAGCATCTTGGAGTTTAAGGGGGACTGCCCATGCGGTGGGGGGGGGGAGTGGGGTTGTGTATGTGGATAGTACAAACAAAAATCTAACTATAGAAGACTGTTAACTTAATTTATTTTGCTTTAAAAAATGATTGTTACGCGTACCCCTTCAAACAAACACATCTAAGAAAAAAATGAAGAGTCAAAGATAAGGGATTTTCTGCCAGTTATTTCAAATCTCGCTGTCTTTGTGATAGTGAACTTTTTGAAACATCGTCATCATCCGAAAAGTGAAACTTCAAACCCCCTCTCCCCTCAAACCTGAGAGCAAACCTGAGAACTTCAAATACAACTTCGAACCTGAAAGCAAAGTCTGTGACTTCTTTGATTTTACCAGGACCATGAAAATATGTTTTCTATGAGGGAGGTTGTGCAAAAGTGATAAAAGAGGTGAAGAAGTTAAGAAATAAAATTCAAGGTGTTTGGTGTTCTAAGTAATCATTGCAGGCAATGACATACCAGTTGTAGAGCGGATCTTTGAGATTGCGTTGACAAACCTGTTTTGCTCGGCAGATGTTTCCATAAAATCATTAAGAGACGGTGGCAAACGACACACCCTCTGCTGCTTTTCTTCGTCGCAACCAGACATCTGCCCTCTATTCACAGTTGTCAATTGTCTTTGCAATAAGATAGGTGTGATTTCTAAATCCTCTCATTTACCACAAATAGCTTAATTTTGACATTTTCTAGTTGCAGAGAGTGATTGCAGAAATAGAAAAAACCTAATTCAAATTAGTGGCCAAGGCAACATATGAACGGAACGTTGTTATTTGGTTCTTGACATGATGAAGATGAATATGTCTTAAAGGTTCAAGGTGATTACAATCCTCTATTAGAGATCTGCAGAAGTTCTGCTATAGAAGGCGAAGGGCGAGTCACTCTGTGGAAATCTTGTATACTTTTAGTAGAAATTCTATTGTATAATAACAAAATCCGTATAAATCCGTTTGGTCTGGTGGAAATCTCGTATTCGTTTTCTAAGAGCGGAATGTCCCTCGATACAAGGTTTCTCTTTGAAAGCCGCCTTGACAGTCGAAAGGAAGTCGGAAAACAAATTGATATAAAATTTTGATCGTTGAATCCTGCTTATTTGAAGGAAGCAGTTTTGTTATGATACTGTAAAAGCAAAGATGTTATGATATTTTGTTTAATATTTAAGAAATATCAATTTTAAACATTTTTCGCAGAAATAACCCGTTAGGTCAAGATGTTCTATATGCTTTAAGCAAAAGCAAAAAAAAAACTGCAAAATATCTTCAGCAATTGCCAAAAGTACTTGGAACACCAAGCAATTTGCGTTTGTTTTTATATTTTTCTCTTTTTTCCGGATACTCCTATTTCCAAAACCCCTTCCCCTCGAAACAATGTTGAAACAATATCATAAAAGAAGCGCAAAAGAAAGTTCTTCCTAAAATCCTAACCCCTTTAATAGTAAACCAACATTGTTCCGTAGGGGAGAGGGGGCATGATTGATTTTGGCGTTGGAAACTGATGTCAGTGTTTCAAAACTTTTGGCAGGGATTGTTGCTGCACCTGTAGGTGCTAAATTAAGGTTGAAATATTTCTTGACTGGGCGTTAGAAGGTTATTGTCTATATTCTTACTCCTGACATCTCTTCTATAACTGGCTTTCAAAACAATTGAAGACAATAGAGAAAACAAAGCCCCATTGTGCAGTTTTAAAATATTGAAAGAAACAGACGGTGAAATTAGCCACGATAACACCATCGGATAAGCCAACAATACCTCGCTGAAAAGCAACAGGCCTTCCAAACGTCACATTTTCATTTGCAGCTAAGAATGTGAGAGCGTGGTCAACGGTTTACCAACAATTTACCAACGTTTTGCCAAAATGGTGTTAAAAATTTTCATAGTATTTTGCTTTAAAAAATGAATCTTGATTAATCCTACAGAGTTATTTTGCCTGGCAAGGGATGATATGGAAGCATGTTTTGATTAATATTCACAAACGGTTGACGAACAATTAATACATACATATACATAAGATTGTAAACTTGAATTTGAACGGCTTTTATGGAAAAACCATTAGAAATTTAGAATGGCATACTCGTTGATTATAATATACCCAATTTTAATTACTGTGGCAACAACAATATGTGACACACGTCTTGTTTAAACTGTATTGGAGATCGTGGGTAAGAGTGAGGGCGCTCTAGTAATTTAGCGCAGGCGTATATACGTCATTATCACATCCATTGCTATTTGGAATCTGTACTCAAGCAGAAATGTCACACAAACTGATCCGGTCTCTTCTCTTATGTTGTTATTTGTATAGCATGTTAGTATCTTAGGAATATTCACACTAATCACAGATGTTAGTGAGGGTAGATTGTAGAAATATAATCTCAAATGATGTCACTTTTACATAAATATCAAGCCACAAAAGAGACTGATTTTCAACAAATCAGGTTGAGCGCACATTTTAAAAATTCCAAAGTACCTTCCTTTCCCAATATTCGATTTGGCGCCGTTATGGAATCATTTTCTAGAAAGTTGAAACATCAATAAATCTGGCAATAAATATATTAGTAAGTAATAAAAAATCAAATATCAGTAAAGAGGTCCTCTTTTAGATTTTTAGACAATTCCTTAGAGACAGTGTAGAGACAGTGA